GCAACAACAGCTAATATATATTTTTTGTACAGTTTTACGGCAGGCTGGAGAATAGTTCTTTATCAGTTTGTGTGTGGGTATGGCAGAGAATCAGACTGAGACGGGGAGAGGGGTTGGGGTGGACGAGGCGTTTCGAGTTCAGAGAGGCCACCACTCACTGTAAAGTTTGTACGGCCTGGCATAGCCTACACTTTTGACTTTTGACTTTTGCCATTTCTCCAATGTGCCGACGTTTTTGTGACGAGCGACTTAATTACATGAAACGATAACACTGTCATAATATTATACCACGACTTGTAGCATATTTGTGAGTTGTTTGTAATATTCTTTTTCACTTTATTAGGGTAATTTCGCGGGAGGAATAATCATGATTTTGTTTGGTTGTTTGGTCGTTATAACATAAATTAATGGATTTGAACAAAAAAAAAAACCGTAAATCAATTGAGTAGTACGTCGGAATGGGAGTGGGAGTCGCCATTGTTGTTTCGTTTGTTTTCTTTCTCTCTCTCTCTCTTTTATGTTTGTCTGTAACGTAAAATGCGTTTTGTGGTATTTCAATCCGGCATGGAAAGCGACTTGGTTTTAACTTATACAAGATGCATGGTGGTGGGGAGGAGTCATTTTCTCTCATGTTTTTTAAAAGCATATATATAGACAAGTTTAATTAATTAATTAGGGCTTACGTGTTATCTTATTTGCCTTCAATCAATCTCAAAACCACAACTCATGTCTCATGAGCATGCCATCCTATCATATATTATTGAAGGGATGGCGACCCCTTTATCTCTCTTTTCTCTTCCTGCATGCATAGTCTATCACGCGTGCATACGTATGAGCGTGCATGTCTGCTTAAACGCTTGAATGTAGCGTTGGTTCGTGCGTGCATGCATACAAATAATGTCGTACGTGAGAATTTGCATTTTCATTTTTGCATTCACAAAGAAGAGTAGAGAGTAGTCACTCAGTATTACGGTCTAATAATATTCATCTTTACTTGTAAGTGAAATGTCTTATGTTCGAATCTCGTGGATGACGAATTCGATATCAAATTAGATTGCTCATTGTGTGACTTCACCAAACTCGTGTAAAATATATAAATGTACTTAAAAAAAAAGGGGAGTACGTATTTGAATGTGTAGTAGATCGTACGTCCTAATGTGGACAAATTGGTTCAGATCATATATAATATACTACTTCATGACTGGAACAGTATACAACAACATTAATAATTTGATGGACCGACCTATTAATTATTGTGACAACACTCTTAATTGTGTTTCAGTAGAGCCCCATCTTCCCAGCTAGGGTTTTTAGGGTTATATAGCACACACTCATAAATTGTTTGTTTTTATATTTATTTAATTTTTTTTTCTTGTGGCATCTTGAAGTGGGTGTATGCATGAAAGAACCTAACTCAATTTCAAAATATGTCACTTAGTGCTACAGTATAGTGATGTTTTTCTTTACTTGCAAGTGAGAGGTCTTAGGTTCGATTATTGACAAAGAAGAATATGAACCATATTATTATTAATGCATTGTGAGGCTTAACCCACTTTCCCATCCTTTAGTATGAATAATATCGTTTGTTATAAATATATATTAAAAAAAAAACCCCTCAATTTCAAAATACAAATTATCATCTTTTTTAAAGTCTAATAATTAATATTTTTTTAAGTAAACTAGTAAAGTGTAAATAAAAGGCTTTAAAATTTATATCTAGCAATTGATTACTTGGGTTAAAAAGTAAGATTCTCATAGTTAAGTTTTGTTGCTTTATCCATATTCTTTAAAGCGAAAAACATTTGAGTTTTTGTTAACCGCTTGCACTTTTGTAGAAAATATCAAGGGACAAATTTGTGACATTATTTTTTTATACATATTTTATAGGGTATAATGTCACATCCCGTCCCGGGCGGGACTACTTTCCGGGTCCGACTCCATTACCGTAGCACGATATTGTCCGCTTTGGGCTTACCATTCCCTCACGGTTTTGTTTTTGGGAACTCACGAGCAACTTCCCAGTGGGTCACCCATCATGGGATTACTCTAGCCCCCTTCTCGCTTAACTTCGGAGTTCCTACGGAACCCGAAGCCAGTGAGCTCCCAAAAGGCCTCGTGCTAGGTAGGGATGAGAATATACATATAAGGATCACTCCCCTGGGTGATGTGGGATCTTACATACACTTTGTAATTTATTTCAATTATTCAATTGGTCTATATTTTATAACATTATTGATAAATCATCTTCACAAAAAATTAGACAAATCGAAAACCAGTGAAGGAAATGAACGAATACGACTTTGTAAAAAACACTAAATTTGATCCAATGATCATATGGTTTTAAATTTTGGATGATTTTTTATACAATCCTTAAAATGCATTATAAAGTGAACTTTATAAAAACGTATATAAAAAGTTGAAAAAAAAAGATATGCCAAGAAGAGTGCGCGTGCGTGCGCGCACACACACAATATACGTGTATGAATAGATATATTAAATCCCGCAACTACTTTCGTATCAATGTATATATGATTTGGCAGCGTTACGGGAAGAAGGCAAATTAATGGAAGATAAATAGCTACTAAAAGCCACCACGGGATGGTCCCAACAAGTAGTCTATGATCCATACCAAATTCTGAAGGCTGCCAATAACTTTTTCATTTTTCATTTACCCTTCCATTTTTGTTTATTTTTAGGATATTATTGATGATACATTACCGACATGAAAAAAAGAGAGGACAACATGCAAGGAAATAGGGTGGCAAATTCTCAGTCAAAGCAGAATGGTAATTTTTGGTTTGACTTGATTTGGGGCCATCTTTGAGATTCGAATCTAAGAATCTCACTTTTAAGCGAAGTAGAATATTATTAGATTGTAGTACTGAGTATCATCTGCCTACACACTTTTTTTTGTGTGTCAACGTTTTATATTTTGTTTTTAAAATGGGGAAGGAGAGAGGGAGAGAGCGAAGGAGAGAAGGTGGGAGTGGGAGTGAGAAGAGAGGTTTTTATTTATTTTTTTCAAAATTTTAATATTAGATATATGCTAAAATTAGGTAATGCTTTAATAAAAAACAACAAAATTTAATTTAATTTTGTGAAACTACAGCCCGTCATTTTTTTATATAATAAAATACTAAATAGTCTTTTTTCTGTCGTTTAGTTGAATTTAGTTAAGATATGAGAGATCATAATGTTAAAGCAACGGGGCTCCATATGTGTTTAAAAGGGAAGAGATCCCCTCCGGATCTCTCCCACCAAGTCTTAGGGATCCGAAGATCCAGATTTTTGAAATTGGATAAAATGACTACAATTAAGAGGACTCCTCTATTTGTAACTGTTGAATCAAATTTCAAAGATTCGGATTGCTAGATCCTAAGGACTTAGGAGGTGAGATCCGAAACGGATCTCTTCCCTGTTTAAAATTGCTAAAGATGGTTAGGTTGATGATTAGACCATATTACCATAAACAAAATAAGCAAAATATATTGGATGGTTCACTTTACATGAAAGAATCTAAAGAGAATTTGTGTTTATTCTTACAAAGAAGATTTTAAATGCATAAATAAATACTTTTAAAACAAAGATACGACCCCACTCCACTCCAATTGATGTTTAACTTGATTTGTCTCGATAAAAAGCTTAAATAATGTAATGCCTGATTAAACTATCATCAAACGCAGATTAACAAACAAAAGTTTTGCTAATCATGTGGTTTTTGTAACACCAGAAAAATATTAATGAATAATCAAAAATGGAAAAGCCTGACCTCACCTCACCTCACTCCTACGCAGCACCAGTCACCAGGTGGTGAGGTGATAGGCTGATGGCTGCCTACAGCTACAGGGCCACAGGCAGGCACCAAGTGGGCAAACGTCCCCCCGCACTAAAGATCCGTGGGATCCCCTCGTCCCCTCATAAAAAGGCTTTTCCTTTCTTTCCTTTTCTCTCAGTTACCATTGATCAGCGACACTGTGACAGTGCCAGAACAAGCTCAAAATTTTTACCACTTTTCTCAAGTTGTGTAACCTTCACTAAAATCTCCGTGGTTTTGAAACAATGATTTAACGGTTAAAATTTGTGAGATATAAGATAATCCGATGTATTATAGAAAATCCCTGAAGTTTGAGATGTGAAAAGATAAGAAAGGAAAAGGCTTGACGAAATTTTGGCATTGATATTTACCGGAAAGAAAGCTCTCAAGTCTCGCCTGGGGGTCCTAACAAAGTGTAAAACAGCTAATGCAAATGTCGAATCCTGAATCTTCAGCAGAGCAGTGAGCGAGTTGTGTGATAATTGCAAGAATCTTTCACACAGCCAAGAGAAAACTCCAAATCCCAATAAAAGGTCGGCATTCCTGTCTCTCACAAATTTTAACCTCTTTCTCTCTCTACTTTCGCCCGCTCCATGCTCCAAAGGAGAAATTTTATATTATCACGGGAACACAAGTGATACATTATGTTTTTTAATAAAAATGATAAGAAATTTTACTTTTTAAGTTATTAACTTTTTACCACACATATCCTACCATTTATATAATAACATATAATGTACAATCCCATATTCCGTGTACCGATCATACTTAAAAATCTTTCCAATGCAAGATATCGTTTTTACTGAGAAATTTTTAGTTGTGATGGGAATAAGGGTGGTACACCAGGTGTTTTTATGTAAGTGATGAAAAATTTTATTTTTTAAGTTATTAACTTTTTAACACACATATTACACTATTTATATAACAACACATAATGTACCATACTGTGTGACGATCACATTAAAAAATCTCTCGTCTTTACCTTTATTCTCTGAGTTTACAAGCTTATAATTAACTTTTTAACACACATTCCAACCCATTTATATAAAAATACGTAATGTACCATCTTGTGTCACTGTCGCATTGAAAAATCTCTCGTCTTCACCTTCTCGTCTCTCCCTCTCTCTCTCTCTCTCTCCATAGGTGAAAACTGAAAGGAGTAGTAGGCCACTGTAATGGCCTGAAATACCATATTCTCTTTTGTTTCTTCTACTCACAACCGCCACCGCCATCGCCATCAGGCCCATCACCATGACCATGTAGACTCTTTTCCCCTCTCTTACTCTCTCTCTCTCTCTCTCTCTCTCTCTCTCTCTAGCTCTCTGAGCTACAAGACGTTCTTTTCCTACAACAAAGCACTGCAAAATAACGACGCTTTTGAACTCCAACCACCACAATGCCACCTATCAATCTGCTGATGATCCTCTTGCTCACGTTGCTCTACTTCACCACCACCGCCACTTGTTACCGCCACCTCCTCCACCAGCCCCTTTTCCCCTTAGAGTCTTCCCCTCCAACCCAACCGCCATCCTTCTCTCCCCAATCCCACCCAACCCAAATTCCCAAACTACCCTTCTCTTCCTCCTCCTCAACCCCTCCCCTAAAACCTTTCTTTCCCTCCTCCTCCTCTCACTCCCCACCGCCCCCTCCCTCCCCTACTTCCCTCACCTCCTTCCCCGCCAACATTTCCTCTATCCTCTTTCCCAAAAACTCCTCCTCCTCCTCTTCCCACCGCCACGTCATTGCCATCGCCATCTCTGTTTCTGTCACTGCCTTCATCATCATCGCCTCCGCCGCCGCATTTCTGTACTACCGTCGACGCCGGCAGCCTAACGATACCATACCCGACGATAAGGCCTCCATAAACGACAGTCTCCGTCTGTTCCCGCCAAACACCGCCTCCTCCGACGCGGTTCACAATCATCGTAGTAGTACGCCCAATACCAGCAGAGAGTTCCTCTACCTCGGAACCTTAGTTAGTCCCCGACGAGGAACCGACCAGGAAAACGTCGCGAACACGAGCAATGCGAGCTTGGCGTTCGGGGTGTCGAGCCACTCTGCCTCGCCGCCGTATCAGAGACTGGGCTCGCCGGAGCTGAAGCCGCTTCCGCCACTTCCCAAGCACAATTTCAGACGGAGCTTCAAGAATTCCCAGCTGGGTTCCGATGACGATGAAGAGGAGTTCTTTTCTCCCAGAGGGTCTTCCGCGAGTCCCAAACATGGTAGCGGAAGAATAACAAGCCCTGACAGAGTGTTTAAGGCCGTCGATGGCGTAAACTTCGGAAGTAGAAGCTTCAATTCGAAAACTGCGTCATACCCATGTTCGAAATCTGCTTCCCCAGCAAGTTCTTGGTCTCACACGGTCTCGCCGGCGTTGAATTTGAGCCCCAGAAACTTGAAATCGAAGTCGCCGGACTTAGTAATCAATTTCTCAGCTCCGTCGCGGCCTCCTCCGCTACCAATATCATCGTCCCCATGCTTCTCTTCGTCGTCCTCAAGAAATTCTGAACATATCGGGCTGAAGAACCACTCTCCAGAGAGAAATAAGAGTTTTTTTCCGATAAGACTTCCCCCTCCGCCTCCGCCACTGCCACCACCGAGGTTTTGGGAAGCCCCAGCGGGTCCAAGTCACAACACAGGGCCACCGGTTCTTATCACTCCTTCACGGCCGGCTGTGCCTCAGAATTCGGGACCCATTTTGGCGGGTGAAAGTGAAGAGAGCAATGAGATGGTGGAAAAGAATGAGGAGACTCCAACAAAGCCAAAACTGAAACCTTTACATTGGGATAAAGTTAGGGCCAGCTCAGACCGCGCCATGGTGTGGGATCACTTGAAATCCAGCTCTTTTCAGTAAGACAAGAACAAACTCTTGGCCGTTTCTTTTCTGTCAATTTCCGGAGCTAAAAGTCTGATCCTTTAGCTTTTTGTTGCATTTGCCTTTTAGTGAATTTTGTGTTTTTTGTGTTGCAGGTTGAATGAGGAGATGATTGAGACATTGTTTATGGTAAACAATTCGACTTTGACACCGAATGACAATGTCCGGCGACAGATTCTTTCTTCTGTGAATCAGGAGAACCGCGTGCTTGATCCGAAGAAGTCTCAGAACATTGCAATTTTGTTGAGGGCACTTAATGTTACCATTGATGAAGTCTGCGAAGCGCTTTTGGAAGGTAAGTAGTGATACTCGATTCTTGCTTATTGCATTTTGTCCAATTTTAACATTGTTGATCTTGAATTAGTGATGTTGCACATTGCAATGCAAGTTCCGAAATGAAGTTTGATTAAATTTGTTTGCATTTATATGAACTTTTGTAAATTTTGCAAGCAGGTAATTCAGATGGACTTGGGACAGAACTGCTCGAAAGTCTATTAAAGATGGCTCCAACCAAAGAGGAAGAACGGAAACTAAGAGAGTTCAAAGATGAATCACCGTTTAAGCTTGGCCCAGCTGAGAAATTTCTGAAGGCGGTGCTCGATATACCTTTCGGGTTTAAGAGGGTGGATGCAATGCTCTACATTTCCAATTTTGATTCAGAAATAGATTATCTGAAAAGGTCTTTCGAGACTGTGGAGGTAAATCTTGTAGTCTCGTCTTACTTAACATTCGACAATGCAATAATATCTATTTTGTTGATTCGTTTCTCATCCTCAAATATCTTGTTGGAGGTAGCTAATGAGCATCTATATATATGTTTAAATTCAAACCCTCCTGTCGTTGGTGATGGATAGAAAAGGCTTGAGTTCATGCTTCATGATCTTTATACAAATCAAAAGGTTGAACAGTTAAAAAGTATTATTTTTTGGGTGCCTTCCCTCGTTTATTTAAAAATTTTGTACAAAGGAACTGATTTTGAACTATGTTCAGTTTCTGTGTGTTTGGTTCTGTTCATCTTCTCTTGGTCACTTTCCACTTCCAGTTCCAGTTAATCCTTTTTTGATTTTCATTATTGTCCAATCAATTGAACTATTAGTGCTAATCCTGTAGAAAAAGGTATGTAGGCTAAAAAATATATTTGTTATTGATACGTGAATGTGGAAAAAATGGAAGAGAATGCTTTTTTTTCTCATTATCTTTCTCTACAAGATTACAAGGATATATATACATGATACAAGTGTGTTAGGACAAGGTAGCCGTCCTAGTGTGTAGGTAGGACAAGGTAGGACGGCTGTAGGACGACTTGACGGCTGTAGGACGGCTAGTGTGTAGGTAGGACAAGGTAGGACGGCTGTAGGACGGCTAGTGAATAATATTATATACAATTACACAAGGACTCCAACCATATTCCTTATTTGTCTAACAAATCCTAGCCAGTTAATTCTGTCTCGTGTTGTACGCTGTTCAGGATGTGGATTTATTTTTGTCATCTTGTTCTTGAAATCTGATTAACATGGTTTTAAGAACTTGGTGATTGTTACAACTGTGGGCATTGTGCTGCTCAAAAGGATGATTGGCCCGTCTGCTGTATTCAATATCTCTGTTTACCATATCGTAGAAGCTGACTGTATACAGAAAACTAAGAGAGTTCAGTAAACATGTTTATATGATTGCAAAAACTGATTTCTCTTTCTAATTTTATGGTGTGAATTATTGTATTAATTGTAGTACATGTTACTGAACTCTTTCAGTCATCTTAAGTCATGTCAATTTCATAGGCCTATACGAAAGTGATGTAGTTTTCCTTGCCATTCATATTTACATATGCTTCGCCATTCATATTTACATATGCTTCTCAACTCTGCCCGAGCTATTCTGCATAAATATTACTAGCTATTTCTGATATAACTCCCTTAATACAGGCAGCTTGCGAAGAATTAAGGAACAGCAAAATGTTCCTGAAGCTTCTTGAAGCGGTGCTCAAAACTGGGAACCGGATGAATGTTGGCACTAACCGTGGCGATGCCCATGCCTTCAAGCTAGACACACTTCTCAAGCTTGTAGATGTGAAGGGAACAGATGGGAAAACTACTCTCTTACATTTTGTTGTGCAGGAAATCATCAGAGCTGAAGGTTCTTGTCTCTCTGGCATGAATCAGAATAAAATAGCTGAGGAAAGCCAACAAACTTCCTTCCGGGACGATGTCGAGTTTAGGAAGCTTGGCCTGCAAGTTGTTTCAGGATTGAGTGGGGAGCTCACCGGTGTAAAGAAGGCTGCTACGATGGATTCAGATGTACTTAGCAATGAAGTTGCAAAAATTGCTGCTGGAATTACGAAAATAGCAGAAGTTGTAAAATTGATCGAAGGCAGTGCATCAAAGGAGAGTAGCAAAAAGTTCTTCGAGTCCATGAGCGGGTTCTTGAACAAGGCAGGGGAAGAAATTGTAAGGATTCAAGCTCAAGAGAAAGTTGCATTCTCTATGGTAAAGGACTTAACAGAATATTTCCATGGGAACTCAGTTAGGGAAGAAGCTCATCCCTTCCGAATTTTCACGGTGGTGAGAGATTTTCTTTCTATTCTAGATCAGGCGTGCAAGGTAGTCGGAAAAGTTAACGAAAGAACTATAGTTGGGTCAGCCCGTCAATTCCCCAGGGTTCCGAATGCAACCCTTCCACCGTTTTTTCCAGGGCTCGGTGCAAAGCAGCATTATGGTTCCTCGGATGATGAAACCGAACTTCGACATAGTGCTTGATTTTACGCTGGCTGGAGCATTTGATGGATTGATTACCGTTTTAGGTTAAGCACCCTTCCTTGTACTTATATATATGATACACACAAGATTTTGGAATTGTTCATCTTGTGTTATATATAGGGGAAATTAGATCAGAAGATGTAATAAGTTGTAGTAGCACAATATTTTGGTCTGATGTGTAAATTTATTTAGTTATATTTAAAGCTTGTGGTTCGCCAACTGCGGATTTCTTTTTTTTTTTATTTTTTATTCCCAATTCTCTCATCTTTGGCATTTGATTTTTGAAAAATGATGGTTAAATACAAAGTCTGCAAAGATTATTGATGCTCTACTCAAATTTACACAAAAATGGCATCACTTGACTGGAGGGTTTCCACCGATGCTTGCCTTCCCTCCTTGCCAAGTTCACAATGCAGCACACTGGGAGTTCTCAGCATCCATTCGTTCAATCACCCGCCGTGCTTCCTCTTCCGTAGCAGGAACTACATTCCGAATCCGGATCCCATCCTTCATGGCCTCAGGAGGGACAGAGAATGTGAAGTAGAATTTGTTTGATACCTGCTCAAACATATAGCAGACATAAACCGAAATTTAAATATCTACGTGTTCCCAGATCGAAGCTTCAGTAGAGCAGGGAAAGGATTTTCCTTTTGTAATTCCTACGGAAAGCATTTCATCTTTCGCACAATTTGAGATAACAATATCTGCCTGGAGAAATTTTTTAACAGAGATGAGAGAAAATGACAAGGAATAGATTCATTTGAAAGGCTTGGTGAAAAAGCTGCCTTCAGAATGTTACTGCTAACTCAGGTACTCACCTCACTGGACCTAAGCTCAGGCTGTGTAACATGAGCAACGACTTCCACATTTATTAGAGGTTCAGCTGGGTTCTCAAGTTCTGTATAGAGAACACAAGACTTCAACCGGAGAAAGTTTCCTACATCGACCTGCATCAGCAAAATAAATATCATTAATCCCCCAAAACCAGACCAGCATTTGGTGTATCAGTTCAGTTTGTATTCCCAGATACTATTTTCTAAATCATTCTTTTGCTATGTGGAAGGGCAGTTCACAAGTTGCAATCTAACCACATGAGGTATAACAATGGAAGAACACAACTCAATATCAGATTAAAAGGTTCTCCAAGCCATGATCACATACAAAGAATAACAAGACTGCAGATTAACTTTGGATGCAGCATTTACTAATCATTAACCAAAGACAATATGTCATTCAATTGTTGCGTTACAATTCGGTATAATATACACAACCATATTGGACTCCTATTAGTAGAAGGGAACTGAGTAACATACTCCTCGATTCAGATAGGGGAAAAACAAAGAAACCAATAGCAAGCGGTCATGTTTGCTCATAGTACAATCAATAAGTGCGATGTTTTCAATCATAAACTAATGTGTATATTTATATCCTGTGTTATCCTAAAATGATACTTATTCAGCATGATATGTCTCTAGACAGACAGAGAATTAAAACAAAGCTCATAGTACCATTCAAGTTGGATTATAAGATTTTGACAGGTAATAGGCTCAGTTACTTACAGGTCTAACAAAATCAACATGATCAACTTCCAGGAAGTGTGGTGCTACACCAGCAAATGCATATGTTGTTGAGAAGGCAATTTCAAATGCTCTTCGCATCAAAAATCCTCCAAAGATCCGACCATGGATGTTCCTCTGCTGTGGCTGGCAAATAAAGGAGTTCTGGAGGCAAGTATCCCTTATTAGAATGCTATCTCGGTCTGCCAGTGCTGGCATGTCACAGAAAACTTGACCTTCTGCTAACAGGGCGTTGACTCTGTCTGTGTCCTGGTTTTCAGTATCTGTTTTATGTTCAGCTCTCTTCTTTTTCCTCATTTTATTCCTCTTATCTGCTTCTTCCCAGAGCAATTTTTCTTTCTCAGTCTCAGGTGATATCTGGTTAACCGGAGCTGATTTTCCAGACTTAGAATCACGGGCTACAAATGTGAAGTTTGCTATAAGAGCAACAGACTCTGATGTGTATGAGTATCCTGCAAGTCAAGTTTCGATTGTCAGCACATGATAAATAAATCTGATATATTTTAGCAACAAGAAACTACAATATTTGGTTATGTAAACTTCAGTACCCTGCAAAGATTGAGTCACTTCCAGCTGAATCTCCATGGATGACTTCCCAACCCATACGACAGCACCGCCTATATTCAAATCCGTGTCGACAAGGATAGGTTTTTTCATAACCATCTTGTCAACAGAAGCAGTCACCAATAGCAGGGGCCTTCTCGTGCCATCTTCATTGCAGCAGTGCTGGTCAAGTTAAGAAACACATCAGGATCATTTTTAAAGAAGTGGCAACACTCATTTACAAATCGAACTAAAAATATAACTCGTTACAGAGAAGGCTTATTCGAGCTAGCCTCAACAACCAATGCTACACATTTCGAAAAGTTCAGGCATTTACAAATCTAACAATTTCGTTAGAGGATTAAACTGAAACTTGGGTAAAGATATAGTTCGCGGAATAATGCTTCAACTTACTAAAGGAACCATTTAACGAGTTTTTTTTAACAATCCAAATTCCAAACCTACAAAAAAACAAACACTTACTCTCAATTGCAAAATCTAATAATGCAGTTCGAGGATCGAATTGAAATTCAGGTAATAGTTCTGGAATCTGGACTAATGCTTCAATTTATTCAAGAACAAAAACCAAGTTATCAACTTTTTGTTTTCCCTAACAATCCGAATTTCAAACCCGAAAGAAATCAAACAAAAACGTACTCCATTGCAGCAAGAATTGAGCAATTCTTTTAAATAATTGACTTAAATTGGTACCTTGAATACAATGGTTCCAGCAAGAGCATCGAGATCCTCAAGCAACTTCCCCATCCTAATCCCATTCCAGGGGTTCCTGTACTGCTCTCTCAGTTTATAATCAGACGAAAACTTGTACAGAATACCGGTCCTGCTCTGCGCCGGAGTCCTTGCCACCAATTCACTCTGCGGAGGCGCGTCACTCAGTGCATCCCCATACATTTCCGATCTTGCTTCCCACAGGGCATTTGTGACAGGCGAACTGTACATTCCAGGCCACAAACTGATCGGTTTTCGAATGGAAGAGCCGGCATCGATGGGCTGCGAACTGTCGTAGGGTGAAGTGTCGGTGGAAACAACCGGCATTGGCTGAGAAGCGTCTGAATTTGTGGCTGAGAAGGCCTGGTTTGAGTGAATGGCGACGGAATAGGACCGAAAGGTGGGATTTTGAAGGTGGGTTTGGGGTGTTGTATGGGATTTGGTATGTGGGTAGTGGGTGATTCAGGTGGGTGTGGTGAGGAAATTGTTGGGTTTGGATTTGGAGTGAGAGTGAAGTAGGAGGCAAGTGATTGGAAGGATGAAGATTTGGAACTGGGGGTGAAGAGGAGGTGGGGAAGTGGTTTTCTGAGTAGTATCATGGTGGTTCTATGTCTGAGAGAGAGAGAGAGAGAGAGAGAGAGAGAGAGAGAGAGAGAGAGAGAGATCGTCAGTCACATTCTGTGCGTACTGGAATAGGGAGGAAGGAAGGATCCGTTCCACTTTTGAAGCTGCAGGATGCTAATTTCTGGTAACTAGTATGATCCCCGCGCGAAATGGACTTGTTGGCGTTGGCGGCTTAAAAAGTGATTTTATGATTTAAAAATATATTTTAATAATATTTTTGGGTCGCTTTTTTTATTTTCTAAATCAAGCGTATTCATTTTTTGGTCAATAAATAAAGTGTATTTAGAAATGCTTTAATTTGTTTACAAGCACTTTTGGTCATTTGAGATTGTTTGGATGTGTTTTAAAATGATTGAAATCGTTTTTAGATAAAATAGTTTTTGGATTTTAAAGTGGTTTCTAAAATTTACTTGCATTTTTACTCAGGATTGGTTCCAAAAATATTTTTAACAAAAATTTTTTTAATAGTTTTAAAAGCACATCCAAACGACAAACATACCCTAAATTTTTATACTATACGAAAAGTAGAATTTGGCTTAAGATGCACACGCAACAAGTAGAAATACTGCAATAATTTATTACTTGAATTATAAATTTCTTGCAAGAAACATATATTCGATGCATATTTTATTTATTTATTTTTTACAAAGTTATATTTTAAATTTATTCAAATAATAAAATTTGTATCACTTAATACTACAGTATAAAAATATTTATCATCAAATTTGAATTTGGTGAATAACGCTAATTAACGTGATTATGTCCACGTTTGCAATAGATTAAAGTTTGACGCAGACAAAAATAACGAAAATAAATAAATAAAACTTGGTGGATGCAACAATAAGGCCCAATTTCGGAGGTTGGAGGTGGGCTTACAAACACACCCCAAGGTCCAAAATCGCCACGCTCATATATAACGCGCTGTTGCAGTGAGAGCTTCCCGGTTAAAGTTAATTTCCCTCTCTCGCGCTCTCTCAAAAGTTGAAGCACCGGCAGCGGAACCAACAAAGGTGAGTGCTTTGATCTGCGTTATGTTTCGCACCATTTTTGTTTCTTCTTCGTTTAGTCTCAGCTGTTATGTCAACTACTCCTTTTCGTTGTTATTTTTTTTTCGGTTTACAGATTTAAGGGGTTTTCTGAACTTGCCCATTTTAGGGTTCTTGAATTTGAGCTATTGCCTGGATAAAGGTTAATTTTGAGATGCTTGTGAGTTGTGACGATGAAATTGCAAAATTGGATAAACTCAGTGGCAGCATAAATGTGTTAAGGACCTTTTTTTTGTGGAGAATTTGTTGATACCTTGGGTTGGGTCTGGCTCTTTTGATCTTCTTTTATTTTTTTATTGAAAAAAAATGGTTATCCTTTGCTTGGATACTTAATTTACATGGCTTGTTTCGAAGGCGTATACTTTATAATCAAAAGGATTATTCTTTTAGCACCCTTTGAGGTGTGGGATCGAGTAATTCTTCCAGAAATTAATTTAGAGGCTTATGTAGACCTGTAGACTTGATGCTCGTTACGCATCTCACGTTAGGTCATAGTTAGTGTCTGTGTTAGCGTTAGAGTTAATCATCTGATACCAACAAGCTAAAATTTGTTGTTTGGATGGTCTTGTGTAAGAGTCACTCAGTTCTGCGAAGACTGTATTTACTGGTTTTTTGCACTGCAACGTCTGGTTGATGTATCTGTTCGTCTCAGTAGCCCTGCTTTTGCAATTCTTTCTGATATGTTTTAGTAATACATCATGATGGAGGTTTGTTGCTTTTCTGTGTTGTTTCCTTCTTTAGTGTTTGAATTTGGTTATGATTTGATATCATCTTAGGAGGTGCAAGAAGTTAAGATTTAGGATTGAGAAAATGAGTGGAGGTGGAGAGAAGGGGACAGGAACCACAAAAACTCCGGCAGATTTCCTCAAGTCAATTCGTGGGCGACCGGTTGTTGTCAAACTGAATTCTGGTGTTGACTATCGAGGTCTGTTTCTTTATTTCTTTTTTCATGTCTATCGATTTTTCTTTTCTCGCCTTTTCACTCTTGTTTTGTTGTATTCATATCTGGGATCAACATATTATCGACAAAGTTTGCAAGGCTATTTTATGTAGTAGGATTCAAGCTGAAGGGAAGGGATCAGTTATTTTGACCTCTTAAATTTCTTGTGCAGGTATCCTTGCGTGTCTGGACGGGTATATGAATATAGCAATGGAACAGACTGAAGAATATGTCAATGGACAGCTGAAAAATAAGTATGGGGATGCTTTTATTCGTGGAAATAATGGTAATTATCTAAGCATTGTATCATTGTTTTTCTCTTTAGTGTTGCCTCCGCGAGAAAATAATTGGATTTTTTTATATTTGCATTAATGCAGTTCTATACATTAGTACAACGAAGAGGAATGTAGCGGACGGGGCTTAATTGTGATGTTATGAAGCCATGTAGATCATCTGCTGCCATGCTTTATGCGGTCATATTGTAATGTAAGCTTACATGGGATCATTCATGAGAAGGAAATAGAACTACTCGACTCGATACATTTTACAGCATCTGTTTTGGTAACTGTTATTTTTATGTGAATTCTTAAAATTCTGATGATTCTATATATCTCCTTCAACAAAGATAACGGCGTTGCTTCACGGAGTTTCTTTGCTGGTTTATGCTTGAGGTCGATTTTTTCTATGCATAAAGTTGCAAGACTTTCTGTATCAAAATGACATGGTCAATCATCCAATTGAAATATCTTGGCTTACAAGAACTGAAGTGAGAGCTATTGACTAACAGCGTCGGATGTTTATTACATTTATTCGACCACAAAAGAGAGAAGATTCTTAGTACATTTCTCTTGATTTACATTCTTGATACACTGCTTTAGTGAATGAGGATGGGTCGTTTTTGATACATTTAGCTTTTGAAACAAGAGGTTATGAAAAACGTGAGCGCCGACCTGAGATAGGTCCCAGGGTATCCTTTGCTGCAACCACTTTACTCACCAACAGCGGCCATTTAGCCTCGTCTTTCTTGGTCTGCTGCTGCATTTTTTCCTTCAAATGCCTGAAACCACAAGAAGTTTACCCTGAAAACGTAGGGCAAAGAAAGAAGTGCATGTGGAATTCTCATGCGTACCTACACAAAGGGACCTTGCATGATTCCAGGTCGTTGCAAATACGAGAATGCAGTTCAAGAAGCTGCCACATGCGTTTGCAGTGACCACATCCACCAGGAACCCGGGTTTTACAGCTGGAGAAATGACGCACTAAGGTCTCAAGCCCCTTGCAAGCAGGAAAGCCACAGGCCACTTGGCTTCCTTTAAACACCTTGTCCCGGGGACCTATAGTCCTACATCCATCCCTGCATATGTGAAGGAGGGCTTCCATTGCCTCATACAATTGCAAGTACACTTTTTTCTCTTCCTTTTTCTTCAACCGCTCTTCTTTCCTCTAGCACAAAAATTTGAATCCATGATCTTAAAATTAACTGAGATATCATCTCGAAACCTAACATACATGTATTTTTTGTTTCTTCCCCCAACAAATACAGAGGTAAGGTAAGATATTTAAAAAAGGAAGAAAAACGAGCTTACAGAATCTGCTTCAACAACGAACTCTAGCAGCTCTTGTTCAAGTGCAGGATTAACTCGCTTCATCACTTTCCAGCCGTCGGTTGATGATATGGCTTTAAAGTCCTTCACAATCATGCGTACACAAATTAAGGATAGCCGCGGTGCATCACAGTTCCTCGCCAATTGAAGCACATCGACAACATTTTCTTTAGTAATCCATCCCTGCTCAAGAATATATACGCAAACTCTTTTCAATGATGGAACTGAGTAGGAGTGTGACAAAACCAACAGATGGAGAACAAATTTCTTCATCTCTTCCTTTTCAGAGCTGCATGGGAGACACGAGAAAATGTTTCAAGAAATTTGACTAGAATAAGAAATTAAGAATTAAAAAGGGAAGGGAATCTAACTGAACAACATAACTCCAACATACCAGGATGAGTAAAGAAAACGAATGAATGTGTAGACTGCTTCATACGGTACCCCAGGAATCTTAATGTACCTCATACCATATTTAGCTTTTGATTGCTGCAGAAATTTACCGAGCACCGGTGACGCAACAGTCTGCACATTCAACACAAAAAGAAACTTTCTAGCCACATCCTGACCTAGAAATTTCATTCAGGATTTCCAAAGGAATGAAATTGTGGGGTCAATTCAGTTAACTTACCAGAACACTAGAATGGACTGGAATACACGATCCGTCCTCGGTGCAAATATAGACATCAGCACCATATGCTTCTTTAAAAAGCTTGTCCCATGTATCCAGTGTTTCATTTGGGACATAGCAACGCTGTGAAAGCCTTTTGAAGTGTTTATTTTGTGTATATGCTTTACTAGGGACAGGAGGTGGTTTTGGGATATTATGGCTACAGGACATAGAAGAGCTTGGGTCTTCCAGAACAGGGAAAATGTCGTCTGGGTTCTCTTCCTCTATACTTATATTGAAAGATCCAGAAAAGGTTTCGCTAGTTGAGGACGGACAGGGTGAGTCAAGAGTAGGAGAAGTCATCGGCTATTGTGGTTTATCTAAAATAACTATGAGAAAAAAGGTATGATCGAAGATCTGCACAAAAAAAAACGAGCTTAAGACACGCTCTAAATAATTTTCAATGTTCTAACACAAATTGTAATTACAATAAGATGAAACAGCGCATGGAACATATCTCCTACAATACTTGCGTAACAAAAGATATTACGGAAAAATTATCTACTTATAGGTATGGGTTGAATGGTATCTCATGGTTGGATCCTAACATGAAAATCCACTAAACAAGTAATGTCAACAACTGCAAACGAAAGAAGGAAAAGACTTTGATGCCTCATATAGGAAAAGAACAAACTGCAGAAGCCGTATTGACTTGTACGCCAATCACAAAATTACTTGTGAAATGGAGGAACATTAGAAATTTCTTTTGTGCCAATCTCAAAACCGGCGATGCAGGAAAGATATGTTCCCCAAACCGGAATTACTGCTAAAATTAATAAGAAGATGGTTGAAGAAACTTTGGTTATACCTTACATGCTCCAGTTTACAGGAAACAAGGCATCAACGAATCCAAACACAAATATAAAAGTTTTTAACTTCAGCCGTACCGTGGATATATTTCTTAATCCCAAGCATGATCACAACAATAATTAAAAATTAATCGTACTCGGTAAGCAAAAATTAAAACAACGCATCTGAGACAAATGTCTAAACTTGCTCGTGCATCGCTGATTTAATTATCAAAATAAGACACAAGAGATTGAGAAAAGGGCCGAAAGGCAGATCCCAGTGGGTTCGGTTCGGGTTTTTGCCGAAATCGAAAACAGAACCAAAATTACTATTTCTTCCAGTTCGGTTTTTTGTTTGGTTAGCATTTTGAACAAGGATTGTCTGCCCTCCCACTTTCGGTGCCCTCCCGTGTCTTTCTGTTTTGCGTGGTCACCGTTAAGCCACGTCAACATTTTATATTGTTTTTTTCATAGAGATAATAAGACAAAAATAAATAGTAATATAAAATGTTGACGTGGCTTAACCGTGACCATACAAACAAGAGGGCACTAGAGGGCAGACAATCCTTGTCCTAGGATTTTTCGGTTTCGGTTCAGGTTTTTTATTTTTTAACCCACCCCTAGATCCCACAATCACCAACTACCAGGAAGATCCTAAAGATTCTTCAATTACATCCGTTCATCGTACATTGTGCGGTAAAAAATCATTGTAAATTTTTTTATTAAAAATTGAATATAAACAGTACCTAACAAAAATTGACCGCACAATGTACGATAAACATATATGATTGTAGGATCCCCGAAATCCTCACAAAGAGGATCCGGCAAGGATCCTCTCTCAAGCTGGTTTGGTATTACTGTGCTTTGAAAAAAAAACTGCTTCTGCTGTGCTGTGAGAATAAGCAGCAAAGTGTTTGGTAAACTTTGTTGTAAAAGTGCTTTTGAAAAAAAAGAAATCAGTATTATAGTGTTTGGTAAACTTTTATGTAAAACAGATGTGAAAAAAAACAGATTTTTCAAAGCTGAGTCTTGCAACTTCTTGTTTTTGGCTTTTTTTAACCCAAAACTGTGAAAAAAAACTAAAGCTGAATGTTTACCAAACACAAAAACAGCTCTCAGCTTCTTTTTATACCAATTTTTTTCAAAATCACCTCAATACCAAACCAGACCTAAACCTAATCCAATCTTCTTTCAACACAGTTTACAACATTCACATTTTTTATATATTAAAAAAAAAAAAAAGGCTAATTGATAGGCTAAAAGTAAAGGACAATTTTTATTCTTATACTGTAAATAATAGAGCTAGTTCATATGCTTAGTACTATAAAAATTTAAAATTCACAGGAAAAATGGATTGAATGAACAAACTTTGCCAGCTAATAAACTGGATTGTATTAGTCCTAATGCCCTGTTTGGCTATCGAGAAAATTCAAGAAAATCTGAATCATACCTTAGATAAAAAAAGCAAATCTTCTCAGAAAAATTCTAGATTTGTGCCGATCTTCCCCACAATCCTGTCACTCATGCTAGATACGCACTCAAATCCCAAACGATGCTGAAACCAACCAAATAATCAAAAAATTTACTGAATTAAACGAAACTGTAAGAGTCATAATAAAATTATCTCCAAATTCTAACAAAAAAAAAACACAAAATCAATAAAAACCTAGAGAAAACTGGGAAATTAAGAAATCACTTGAAAGGAAGAAGAGCGATTGGATGACTGGAGGATGTGAGAAATGAGAGTGCTCGAATTCGATGAATGCGAAAAGTGTTGGAAAGCGGAAAGAGATGGAGCACACGGGATTGCAGAGGAAGAAGAAAGGAGTCGGTGACAGCGACGGACGTGTGTCTTTCTTCCCCTAAAATACGAGGGAGGTTGCTGCATAAACCCATACTCGTCTGTTATTTATTGCTCACTTTTTCCCTTTTTTTTAATATTTATTTTTTCATTTAATAAATCTATTGAAATTTTAAATGATTCTTTGAAATTTAAGTGTACTTAATCATAAGATAATTTATTAAAATTCTTAGAAATTCGATTGTATTTAGTTAGAATTTTAAACAAATATATAACATTTTAAGTATATTTAATTAGAAATTAATTTTAAAAATTTCTTAAAATTAATGAATTGAAGAGAATTTAAAAAAAAATTATAATATGTTTTAAACATTTATAAATCTTACGAAAAATAGAAACCAATTTATCTTTGTACGAAGAGAGATGGTTTGGTTGGATATTTTTTTTTCATGAAGGGTGCTAATTTTGGTAATGAGATTCGCATCAGCGACCAACTCACTAGGAGTCAACTTCAGAGTAATCGATAGGACCGAAGATTAGCACAAGTGGATAGTAACGTCAACAGCAGTTGTTGCCGTCGTAAGGATAAGAATTTAGGGGGGTAATCAAAAGTCGTTACGACGATATTTCTAAGTACTTATATAATATCACGTTGTATGTGAAGTTAAATTATATGATGTTTTGTAATTTGATTTTAAATATCTCGCGGTGAGTATTATCTAGTGAGATGCTACATTTAACAAAGTTGGTTATGCATGTGCATATATATATACTCTTTCTAAAATCTAGAAATGCCAAAATTGTTGGTTAGAAATTTTATGAAACCCCATAATCCTTGCCCAATTGCCAAATATCGGGGAGTTCGTAACCACTCATTATACACATAAGTAACGTTATTGTCAAGTATTTAAAAGATAAAAAATAGAAAGAAAGTGGAAATTGTTGCGGTAGAGAGAAAATGGAAACAAAATTGGAAATTGTATTTACCCAAAATAAAAAGGAGAAAATATGTGACAGAAAAAAGGATAAAAAGGCGAAATTTTTAGTGAAAAGAACTAATTTGATAATACTTTGGTATTTATTGCCGAGTACTTGATGCTGTCACTTGTTAGTTTGATTTAATAAAAAATATTACATGTTTTTTGTTTTTTTAAATTTAAAAAAAATTATGATATGTTTATTATTTTTTAGACAATAAAACAAGTGTTATTTTATTAATAGACAAATTGAAATGTAAAGAGTGCCACGTGGATGCGTAGGGAGAGAGCAAATGTTTGGACGGCTACGACCTACGGAGAGATAGAGAGTAAGGGAGAGGAATAACGGCGATCAACTAGTCGGAAAGGGGTAAGGTAGAACTAACAGGATTCTCTCCGGAGAGAATCCTAGAAATTTATGGTTTGTGTATGTTTATCGTACATCATGCGATTGATTTTTATCAAGTATTGTTTGTGTTTAATTTTAAATAAAAATATTTGAAATGATTTATGATCACACGATATACGATAAAATGATCTGATTCACAGATTCCTGAAATTCTCACAAAGAGGATTTGGCAAGGATCTGGATTCAAGGTAGAATGCTGCATGGGAATGGAAAACGATGGGGGTGGGTCCACCTCAATTGAGGGATGGGTATGGCAGACTACACCGTTACGGCAAGTGAACATATGATAGAGAAGATAACATATGACTCGTGTAGAAGTACTTTCAAAATGATTGAAAACATTTTTAAAGAAAATATTTTTTTGGTTTCAAAAGCATCTCAAGTGTTTTTTTAAGATTCACTTGCATTTTTATTAGAATTGATTCCAAAATATTTTCACTAAAAATGTTTTCAGTCATTTTAATAACACTTTCAAACGAACCCATATATTCTTGTATCATTAACATGAGATGAGACGCTAGAGTTTTGCTCTCTTAAAAGCCTTATTTTTTAAGGATATGTAAGGACCAAATGCATTTTTTTTAACAAAAAATATCATCTACACTAAAGGGTGGGGGTAGACTTGGCCTTACAATAGGCTAACAATAATATAGTTCAAATTTACTTTTGGTGAGAATCGAATCTAAAACATCTCACTTACAAATGAAGATAAATATTACGAGACGGTAATATTAATTGGTAGCCACAAGAATAAATTAGTTTTGAACTTTGGATTAAAAGACTTAAAATATTTGACAATTTAATAAAGCAAAACCAACTTCCATGAGCCATTACAAATCTCTCTCTCTCTCTCTTTTTTAACAAATATTTTAAGTCTTTAAATCTAAACTAATATAATCTTGTGGTTACTATACATTTGATTTTCATTTGTTCTTAAGATGAGAACCTTAAGAGAGCAAGACTGTAGGTAGCTATCGTGAATGTGCCCTCGTGTTATGTAAATTTGTCTTCTCAAATCAAAGAAAAACACTTAAAACTAATATATTGTCACAATAGCATTACCAAAAAAAAAAAACCAAAAAAGTAATACACTGTTCATCCACTAGATGATTATTATGTAGTGTCATCAGTTGAAAAATAGAATCCCGCCAAATGGACTTTCATGTACCCTTAAAGCCTGAAAAGTATGGTCATCCTCATGCATGACTTGACGATAAAAGACTGATCCATCATGAAATAAATGAAAACTTGACTTTCTTGTTCAACTTAGACGTCATGTTAAATCGTGACACATTAATGGAATTTGACCTTATATAGATTTATAAATAAGTTGAATTATTCCCTATATTACTAGTTAGTTTTATAGTAGAATTTCAACTTCTTCATGGTATTAAAGCATATTGTCTCATGTGTGAAGCCAAACGGTCACACGCGTTCCACGTCACCCCGTTGTGTTGTCTACATGTTAGGCTTGAAAATTTATTATATGTGAAGGGGCGTGTTGAGAATGAGACACATATTCATGGAAGGTGAGACTTTGCGTGGACTTATAAATAAGTTGAGTTACACCTTATATTATCAATTGATTTTATAATGAAATCTCAACTTCTTCACAAACATATATTAAGTTTAGTGAGTTGTGTCTATCGATTGAAAGTTGAAACCAAACAAAGTGTTAATTGAATTTAGCCCTAGTTTGGTCATCTGAAAAAAGTGGCTATCAAAAAAATTTGAGAGCTTTTTTATGTTTGGTAAACATTTAGCTTCAGTTTTTTTTCACAGTTTTGGGTGAAAAAAGCCAAAAACACAAAGCTGCAAAACCTAGCTTTGAAAAACCAGTTTTTTTTCACATCTGTTTTACATAAAAGTTTATCAAACACTATAATACTAGTTTTTTTTTCTTTTTTCAAAAGCATTTTTACAAAAAAGTTTACCAAACACTCTGCTGCTTTATTTCACAGCTACTTATTTTCACAGCACAGTAGAAACAATTTTTTTTTCAAAGCACAGCAATACCAAACCAGCATGACGTATGTATTTGTGCTGTATTTTATCATTACATATCGTTTCAATGAAAAATATAATATCACTCGGAAATAAATTTATACGTAATATTATATTATTAAATTAAAACGGGACAATGACTATAAACAAGTTTATCGTAACAAACTCCCACTTAATGGGTTACAAGCTAGAAACTTTGAGATTTAGTTATATATTCAAGAGGCGTTTTTAAAAGTCCACGTTATGGACGGACCACATGTCCTTGGCATTTTCTACTTATTGAATCTTGATTCGTTTATATATATATGGATGTCCCAAATCGGCAAATGGAATATCTCTAGCTTGAATATGATTAATTAACTCACGTAGTCAAGAAACAATTAAAATAGGGCTAAATGGCTAATGAAGAAGGGTGATTGCTTGAAGTTGAACGGTAGGACCAATGGCCTTAAATAGCACCCAATCTCGTTGGTAGCTTTTACTTAAGACTGGGCTCGATATCATCGATCTTATTCACCTACGGACTTGTCCGCATTGTCATTGTCATCCATCTCATAATTTTTATTTTTTTTTAACATAACTTTTGATACACAATTTGTACGATTTTCATAATATATTTCAGTAATTCGAATCGTCTATTAAAATCATTAAGGCATTTATTTGTATTAAATAAAATGAACAAACACGGCTCTACAAAGAATCCTAGACCTTTAATCCAAAACACGGTTTCAAATTGGGGTAATTTTAGTAGACATGATATTTGAGAAAATATCTAAAAGATTTAGAGTTCAAATAGTTAAAATACATTACGGATTTGGCTCCACAAAAAATTGTAAAAAAAAATAAATGGTGTCATTGATCCATTTACATAGATAAAATGCAAAAAAGAGGAATAAAGATGTTGGGAAAGGATTTCAATGAATAAAATCTAAAGTCGTCCTATTACGTGCGATTGGGATAAAATGCAAAAAATAGATAAGGATGTTGGGAAAGGGTTTCAATTAATAAAACCTAACAGTCATCCCATTACATGGGACAAGGTTCAAGCGCAAAAAACAAATAAAAGTGTTGAATTTTATTACAAAATATTTATTTTTAATATAACGATAATTTTACATTTTTAATCTCCTACATAAATTAAATTCGTACATCTTCAACGTGGAACTCTACCCTCCATTACTTGATTCACTAGATTGACTATTTGGTGTTCTATAGATTATATATATATGCCAACCATTTACTGTAAAAACATTGCTTTGGTCGTCCAAATTAAGAGAGAGAGAGAGAGAGAGAGATCAAATGGAAGGTGATAAAGGTTATAGAGCTCATGTGTTGGCAGTTCCTTATCCTTCTCAAGGTCACATAAACCCGTTGCTCCAATTCTGCAAGCGCGTTTCCTCTAAGGGCAAGGGCATCAAAGTGACTTTAGCCAACACCGTCTTCAACGCCAACTCATTGCAGCGCACATCATCGGGCTCCGTCTACTTCGACACCATCTCCGATGGCTACGATGAAGGCGGCTTTGCTCAAGCTGGGAGCGTCGCCGACTATCTATCCCGGATGGAAGCCGTGGGATCCAAAACCCTAGCCGAGCTCATTAAAAAGCACCAAAACTCACCCCAACCTATAGATTGCATTGTTTACGATCCCGTTTTACCTTGGGCCTTGGAAGTAGCCAAACAATTTGGTATGCTTGCCTGTGCCTTTTTTACTCAAACATGCACGGTTAATTACACTTACTATCTCCAGCATCATGGGAAACTGACGATTTCTTCTGTTCCGGGGTTGCATGACGTGCTTGAGCCTCGAGACTTCCCGTCCTTCATTTCTGTCCGGGGCTCGTATCCAGCTTACTTTGAGATGGTGTTGAACCAATTTTCTAACACCCACAAAGCTGATTTCATTTTTGTCAATACTTTCTACAAGTTAGAGCAAGAGGTACGTCTAGCTCTATAATATTTTTAATTTTTATTTTTCACTTGTTTGGTAATTGTTTCTAAGTGAAAACCAGAATAAGCCAAAATATTGAAAAGTCGTATATAAAACTAGTTTTATTTTTTTATTTTTAAATTGAAAACAGTTATCAAACGAATTTCTAAGTTTTAATAAACGTGAAACTGGAAATAAAATATAAATATCAGATTATCTATGATTAACTAGTAATTCTATTTACCCACAAGAGTGATATTGTCACATCCCGGTCTGGGCTCCCACCACATCCCTGGCTCGACTCCGTCATAGCATGATATTGTCCGTTTTGGGCCCCGACTACGCCCACATGATTTTGTTTTTGGGAACTCACATGAGAACTTTCCAGTAGGTCACATATCCTGGGATTACTCTCTCACGAATTCGCTTAACTTCGGAGTTCTTACGGAACCCGAAGTTAGTGAGCTCTCAAAAAGTCTTGTGCTAGGTAGAGATGAGAATATACATATAAGGCTTACATGTATGTCACATATCCTGAGATTGCTCTCTCGCGAACTCGCTTAACTTCGGAGTTCCTACGGAACCCGAAGCCAGTGAGCTCTCAAAAGGTTCCGTGCTAGGTAGAGATGAGAATATACATATAAGGCTTACATGATCCACTCTCCTAGACGATGTGGGATGTAACAATTCATCCCCCTTAGGGGTCCGACGTCCTCGTCGGCACACTTCAGCCCAAGGATTGGCTCTGATACCAAATTGTCACATCCTGGTCCGGGCCCCCACCACATCCCGGGCTCGACTCCCCTATAGCACGATATTCTTCGCTTTGGACCCCGACCATGCCTTCACGGTTTTGTTTCTAGGAACTCAGATGAGAACTTCCCAGTGGGTCACCCATCCTGGGATTGCTCTCTTGCGAACTCGCTTAACTTCGGAGTTCCTACGGAACTTGAAGCCAATGAGCTTCCAAAAGGCCTCGTGCTAGGTAGAGATGAGAATATACATATAAGGCTTACATGATTCACTTCCTTGGATGATGTGGAATGTAAGCATGTCTCGATTTAGGTCGGGGTATGTCAGATATGGCGTGACATAAATTTGTCACGAGTGTGACCCTTTTGTATGCCTAAATATCATTATTCAAAATCATCATTGTTGCCGAGGTTTTTTTTTTTTTTTTTTTTTGTTTTTTTGTTTTTTGTGGTACATCAATATATAATTGATTTGTCAAGTAACTAATATGTAGTATGAAATAATTATGCAAGGACAGACGGTGGATTCCATGTCAAAAGATTGTACAAATTTGTTGACAATAGGGCCAACAATTCCCTCTTTTTACTTGGACAACAGCATCAAAGACGACAAGGATTACGGGGTCCATCTTTTCAAGTTCGACTCGACCTGCACAGACTGGCTCAACACCAAGCCAGCAGGCTCAGTTGTATATGTGGCGTTTGGTAGCATGGCCAATCTAAGTGACAATCAGATGGAGGAGCTTGCATTTGGGCTGAAGGAAAGTGGCTTCCACTTCTTGTGGGTGGTTAGGCCTTCAGAGGAGGCAAAGCTTCCCTCCAAGTTTGTTGAAGAGACAAGTAATAGCGGTCAAGGGTTAGTAGTAAAATGGAGCCCTCAGTTAGAGGTGCTGTCGCATGCGGCGGTGGGATGTTTTTTCACACACGGCGGGTGGAATTCGACAATCGAGGCATTAAGCTTGGGAGTGCCAATGATTGCAATGCCGCAGTGGACCGACCAGCCTCCTAATTCTAAGCTAATTGAGGATGTTTGGAAGGTTGGTGTTAGAGTGAAGGTTTATGATCATGATCATGATGAGATAAACGATCGCGGTGAGAATGTTAATGGGATGGTAGGAAGAGAAGAGTTTAAGCGCTGCATTAGGAAAATGATGGAAGATGAGAAGGATGGGATTGAAATGAAAAAGAATGCAAAGAAATGGAGGGAGTTGGCAATAGAGGCTGTGAGTGACGGTGGCACTTCGGACAAAAACATCCAAGAATTCGTGTCCAAATTGACAACGGCAGCCTAAACCCTACAATCTATTTATATTCTTCTCACATGTTAGCGAGAAGTTTTATATTCGATTTAGCAACGATTTTAATATTTTATTTCTGTTAATGTGCTATCAAACATATTGTTGCCTTTAAATTGTATGTGATTAGCCATGTAAAGGAAAGGGGTGGAAAGCCATGCATGGGTGCAACACTTACCAACTAGTCTCTCAATTACTACTCTTCGCCAGCGGCATAAGATTGGTGGGTTGAGTTGATTGTATAGGCTGAAACCGGTCGGGTGAGTGAGTGAGAGAGAATTAGCCATGCAATATGTATGCTTGGCCATGGGGGTATGATTTCCTTCTAGATACATATGTATATGTTGTAATAATTGTAAGAATAATTGAATGCCTACATAGAAATAATAGTGAATAGTAGAAAGTTTGTCGTGTGGTACGTTTTCAAAAGAGAAAAATCATAGATGTTGTTAAATTTCTCACGGGTGTTACTTTCCATTCACTGTAAACCTTAGGACGTGGCTTTATAAATAGATCACTTCGTGGGTGATCAACACAACAACTAAAGGAAAAAATTACTAAAAGCAATAATATCAGTATCCTTCCTCTCCTCTTTTTATTGCAATTCTTTTGTGTTATAGCTACGAAACTAAACAGTGTGATATTTTGCACCTCTTTCGCTCCTGTCTTTAACAAAGGTTATTCCTCTAACTTTTGCCTATTTACAACACGTTATTAGCACAACTCTCTAACCCTAAATAGTTCACATCGGCGAAAAATGTTTCCTCCAAGGATTTTCTTGTTCTTCTTCCTCCTCTGCCTCACCTGCTAGATATACCCTCGCGAAGAATTGCTAGCGCCATGCCTGCTTCTAGTTGTCAATATAACAATTACTTATATCTTTGATTTCTTGTTTGCTGTAGCTCGTGATTATTAACCCAATGTTTATTTATTTTTGTTGCGATCGAAGATGGTGCGGTATCATCGCCCATCTTGGACTGCAGATTTAATTTTACTGCAATTTTAGATGGTACTGTATAATCCCCACCCTACTCTACATATTTAAATTTTTCTGCTACTTGAGTGGTGCGGAATCGCCCATCTTATGCTATATTGTTTCAATGAGAGTGGTGCAGCACAATCGCCATTCTTATTAACTTCGGAGTTCTGATGGAATCTGAAACCAATGAGTTCCCAAAAGGTCTCGTGCTATATGGAGGTAGACATGTACATATCATGCATAGAAGATCCTCTCCCCTAGGTCATGTGGGATATAACACCCTAGATATTACTGGGATGAACTGCCTTACCTGGGTAATAGATGCCAACATCCATCTGGAGGTAGGGAATCTTGGAGAAACCATCAAGGAGGAGAATAATGCATCATCTCAAGATCCCAGGGTATCCTTTGCTGCTACCACTTTGCTCACCAACAGCGTCCATTTAGCCTCGTCTTTCTTAGTCTGCTGCTGCATTTTTTCCTTCAAATGCCTGAAACCACAAGAAGTGTAGTTATGACGATGACGATTCCAACCATCAAACCCGAGTTGTGTCGTTCACTAACATGACAGAGTAAAATACAACTCCGGCAGTAACAATATTGATCAGAGGTCGTGACAGGGACGGTGTATAGTGGGGATATGATGGTGCAATAGAAAGATTTCAGTAAAAAATTTCAAAAACCTTTCAAAGGGTAAGTACTGACCAAATGCAGACCAAATGCCAACCAAACATAAACTGAAATTTCAGTTTCTTACCCTGAAAACGTAGGGCAAAGAAAGAAGTGCATGTGGAATTCTCATGCGTACCTACACAAAGGGACCTTGCATGATTCCGGGTCGTTGCAAATACGAGAATGCAGTTCAAGAAGCTGCCACATGCGTTTGCAGTGACCACATCCACCAGGAACCCGGGTTTTACAGCTGGAGAAATGACGAACTAAGGTCTCAAGCCCCTTGCAAGCAGGAAAGCCACAGGCCACTTGGCTTTCTTTAAACACCTTGTCATGGGGACCTATAGTCCTACATCCATCCCTGCATATGTGAAGGAGGGCTTCCATTGCCTCATACAATTGCAAGTACACTTTTTTCTCTTCCTTTTTCTTCAACCTCTCTTCTTTCCTCTAGCACAAAAATTTGAATCCATGATCTTAAAATTAACTGAGATATCATCTCGAAACCTAACATACATGTATTTTTTGTTTCTTCCCCCAACAAATACAGAGGTAAGGTAAGATATTTAAAAAAGGAAGAAAAACGAGCTTACAGAATCTGCTTCAACAACGAACTCTAGCAGCTCTTGTTCAAGTGCAGGATTAACTCGCTTCATCACTTTCCAGCCGTCGGTTGATGATATGGCTTTAAAGTCCTTCACAATCATGCGTACACAAATTAAGGATAGCCGCGGTGCATCACAGTTCCTCGCCAATTGAAGCACATCGACAACATTTTCTTTAGTAATCCATCCCTGCTCAAGAATATATACGCAAACTCTTTTCAATGATGGAACTGAGTAGGAGTGTGACAAAACCAACAGATGGAGAACAAATTTCTTCATCTCTTCCTTTTCAGAGCTGCATGGGAGACACGAGAAAATGTTTCAAGAAATTTGACTAGAATAAGAAATTAAGAATTAAAAAGGGAAGGGAATCTAACTGAACAACATAACTCCAACATACCAGGATGAGTAAAGAAAACGAATGAATGTGTAGACTGCTTCATACGGTACCCCAGGAATCTTAATGTATCTCATACCATATTTAGCTTTTGATTGCTGCAGAAATTTACCAAGCACCGGTGACGCAACAGTCTGCACATCAACACAAAAAGAAACTTTCTAGCCACATCCTGACCTAGAAATTTCATTCAGGATTTCCAAAGGAATGAAATTGTAGGGTCAATTCAGTTAACTTACCAGAACACTAGAATGGACTGGAATACACGATCCGTCCTCGGTGCAAATATAGACATCAGCACCATATGCTTCTTTAAAAAGCTTGTCCCATGTATCCAGTGTTTCATTTGGGACATAGCAACGCTGTGAAAGCCTTTTGAAGTGTTTATTTTGTGTATATGCTTTACTAGGGACAGGAGGTGGTTTTGGGATATTATGGCCACAGGACATAGAAGAGGTTGGGTCTTCCAGAACAGGTAAAATGTCGTCTGGGTTCTCTTCCTCTATACTTATATTGAAAGATCCAGAAAAGGTTTCGCTAGTTGAGGACGGACAGGGTGAGTCAAGAGTAGGAGAAGTCATCGGCTATTGTGGTTTATCTAAAATAACTATAAGGAAAAAGGTATGATAGAAGATCTGCACAAAAAAAAAAAAAAAAAACGAGCTTAAGACACGCTCTAAATAATTTTCAATGTTCTAACACAAATTGTAATTACACTAAGATGAAACAGCGCATGGAATATATCTCCTACAATACTTACGTAAAAAAAGATATTTCGGAAAAATTATCTACTTATAGGTATGGGTTGAATGGTATCTCATGGTTGGATCCTAACATGAAAATCCACTAAACAAGTAATGTCAACAACTGCAAACGAAAGAAAGTAAAGACTTTGATGCCTCATATAGGAAAAGAACAAACTGCAGAAGCCGTATGGACTTGTACGCCAATCACAAAATTACTTGTGAAATGGAGGAACATTAGAAATTTCTTTTGTGCCAATCTCAAAACCGGCGATGCAGGAAATATATGTTCCCCAAACCGGAATTACTGCTAAAATTAATAAGAAGATGGTTGAAGAAACTTTGGTTATACCTTACATGCTCCAGTTTACAAGAAACAAGGCATCAACGAATCTAGACACAAATGTAAAAATTTTTAACTTCAACCGTACTGTGGATATATTTCTTAATCCCAAGCATGATAACAACAATAATTAAAAATTAATCGTACTCGGTAAGTAAAAATTAAAATAACACATCTGAGACAAATGTCTAAACTTGCTCGTGAGGTATAACCAAAAAGGCACTTGTGTTATATAAATTTGTCTTCTCAAATCAAAGAAAAACACTTAAAACTAATATATTGTCGCAATAGCACTATCTTAAAAAAAAAAAAAAAAAAAATATTACACTGTTCATCCATTAGATGATTATTATGTAGTGTCATCAGTTGAAAAATAGAATCTCTCCTCCTTCAAACCCGATCATATACACTATTATATTCGCCAAATGGACTTTCATGTACCATTAAAGCCTGAAAAGTATCGCCAAATGGACTTTCATGTACCATTAAAGCCTGAAAAGTATGGTCATGCTCATGCATGACTTGACGATAAAAGACTGATCCATCATGAAATAATGAAAACTTGACTTTCTTGTTCAACTTAGACATCATGTTAAATCGTGACATATTAATGGAATTAGACCTTATAGACTTATAAGTAAGTTGAGTTATTCCTTATATTGTTAGTTAGTTTTATAATGAAATCTTAACTTTTTCATGGTATCAAAGCATATTGTTCCACGTGTGAAGCCAAACGGTCACACGCGCTCCACGTCATCCCGTTGTGTTATCCACGTGTTAGACTTGAAAATTTATCATATGTGAAGGGGTGTGTTGAGAATGAGACACATATTAATGGGAGGTGAGACTTTGCATGGACTTATAAGTAAGTTGAGTTACACCTTATATTGCCAATTGATTTTATGATGAAATCTCAACTTCTTCACAAACATATATTAAGTTTAGTGAGTTGTGTCTTTAGCCTTAGTTTGGTCATCTGAAAAAAGTGGCTATCAAAAAAAGTTGGGAGCTTTTTTATGTTGGGTAAACATTCAGCTTCAGTTTTTTTCATAGTTTTTGGTGAAAAAAAGCCAAAAACACAAAGCTGCAAAACCTAGCTTTGAAAAATCAGTTTTTTTTCACATCTGTTTTACATAAAAGTTTATCAAACACTATAATACTGGTTTTTTTTTTCTTTTTTCAAAAGCACTTTTACAAAAAAGTTTACCAAACACTTTGATGCTTTATTTCACAGCTACTTATTCTCACAGCACAGTAACAATTTTTTTTCAAAGCACAGCAATACCAAACCAGCATGACGTATGTATTTGTACTATATTTTATCATTACATATCGTTTCAATAAAAAATATAATATCACTCGGAAATAAATTTATACGTAATATTATATTATTAAATTAACTATAAACAAGTTTATCATAACAAACTCCCACTTAATGGGTTACAAGCTAGAAACTTTGAGATTTAGTTATATATTCAAGAGGCGTTCTTAAAAGTCCACGTTATGGACGGACCACATGTCCTTGGCATTTTCTAATTATTGAATCTTGATTCGTTTATATATATATGGATGTCCCAAATCGGCAAATGGAATATCTCTAGCTTGAATATGATTAATTAACTCACGTAGTCAAGAAACAATTAAAATAGGGCTAAATGGCTAATGAAGAAGGGTGATTGCTTGAAGTTGAACAGTAGGACCAATGGCCTTAAATAGCACCCAATCTAGTTAGTAGCTTGTACTTAAGACTGGGCTCGATATCATCGATCTTATTCACCTACGGACTTGTCCGCATTGTCATTGTCATCCATCTCATAATTTTTTTTTTTTTTTACATAACTTTTGATACATATTTTGTAAGGTTTTCTTAATACATTTCAATAATCTGAACCGTCTATTAAAATCATTAAGACATTCATTTGTAGCAAAAGAAAATGAACAAACACGGCTCTACAATGAATCCTAAACCTTTAATCCAAAACACGGTTTCAAATTTGGGTAATTTTAGTAGACATGATCTTTGAGAAAATACCTAAAAGATTGAGAGTTCAATTCGTTAAAATACATTACGGATTTGGCTCCATAAAAACATGTATAAAAAATTGTAAAAAAAAATAAATGGTGTCATTGATCCATTCACATAGATAAAATGCAAAAAAACGAATAAAGATGTTGGGAAAGGATTTCAATGAATAAAACCTAAAGTGGTCCTATTACGTGCGATTGAGATAAAATGCAAAAAATAGATAAGGATGTTGGGAAAGGGTTTCAATTAATAAAACCTAACAGTCATCCCATTGCATGGGATAAGGTTCAAGCGCAAAAAACAAATAAAGATGTTGAATTTTATTACAAAATATTTATTTTTAGTATAAACGATAATTTTACATTTTTAATCTCCTACATAAATTAAATTCGTACATCTTCAACGTGGAACTCTACCCTCCAATACTTGATTCACTAGATTGACTATTTGGTGTTCTATAGATTACATATATGCCTACCATTTACTGTAAAAACATTGCTTTGGTCGTCCAAATTAAAAGAGAGAGAGAGAGAGAGAGAGATCAAATGGAAGGTGATAAGGGTTATAGAGCTCATGTGTTGGCAGTTCCTTATCCTTCTCAAGGTCACATAAACCCGTTGCTCCAATTCTGCAAGCGCGTTTCCTCCAAGGGCAAGGGCATCAAAGTGACTTTAGCCAACACCGTCTTCATCGCCAACTCATTGCAGCGCACATCATCGGGCTCCGTCTACTTCGACACCATCTCCGATGGCTACGACGAAGGCGGCTTTGCTCAAGCTGAGAGCGTCGCCGACTATCTATCCCGGATGGAAGCCGTGGGATCCAAAACCCTAGCCGAGCTCATTAAAAAGCACCAAAACTCACCCCAACCTATAGATTGCATTGTTTACGATCCCTTTTTACCTTGGGCCTTGGAAGTAGCCAAACAATTTGGTATGCTTGCCTGTGCCTTTTTTACTCAAACATGCACGGTTAATTACACTTACTATCTCCAGCATCATGGGAAACTGACGATTTCTTCTGTTCCGGGGTTGCATGACGTGCTTGAGCCTCGAGACTTCCCGTCCTTCATTTCTGTCCGGGGCTCGTATCCAGCTTACTTTGAGATGGTGTTGAACCAATTTTCTAACACCCACAAAGCTGATTTCATTTTTGTCAATACTTTCTACAAGTTAGAGCAAGAGGTACGTCTAGCTCTATAATATTTTTAATATTTAGTTTTCACTTGTTTGGTAATTGTTTCTAAGTGAAAACCAGAATAAGCCAAAATATTGAAAAGTCGTATATAAAACTAGTTTTATTTTTTTATTTTTATATTGAAAACAGTTATCAAACAAATTTCTAAGTTTTAATAAACGTGAAACTGGAAATAAAATATAAATATCAGATTATCGGTGATTAACTAGTAATTCTATTTACCCACAAGAGTGATATTGTCACATCTCGGTCCAGGCTCCCACCACATTCCTAGCTTGACTCCGCCATAGCACGATATTGTCCGCTTTGGGTCCCGACCATACCCACATGGTTTTGTTTCTGGGAACTCACACAAGAACTTCTCAATAGGTCACCTATCTTGGGATTGCTCTCATGCGAACTCGCTTAACTTCGGAGTTCCTACGGAACCCGAAGCTAGTGAGCTCTCAAAAGGTCTCGTGCTAGGTAGAGATGAGAATATACATATAAGGCTTACAGGATCCACTCCCCTGGACGATGTGGGATGTAACAATTCACCCCCCTTAGAGGTCCGACGTCCTCGTCGGCAGACTTCCGCCCAGGGATTGGCTCTGATACCAAATTGTCACATCCTGGCCCGGGCCCCCACCACATCCCTGGCTCGACTCCGCTATAGCGCGATATTGTCCGCTTTGGACCCCGACCATGCCCTCACGGTTTTGTTTCTAGGAACTCACACAAGAATTTCCCGGTGGGTCACCTATCCTGGGATTGCTCTCTCGCAAACTCACTTAACTTTGGAGTTCCTACGGAACCCGAAGCCAGTGAGCTCCCAAAAGGCCTCGTGCTAGGTAGAGATGAGAATATACATATAAGGCTTATATGATTCACTTCCTTGGATAATGTGGGATGTAAGCACGTCTCGATTTAGGTCGGGGTATGTCAGATATGGCATGACATAAATTTGTCGGGAGTGTGACCCTTTTGTATGCCTAAATATCATTATTCAAAATCATCATTGTTGCCGAGGTTTTTCTTTATTTTTTATTTTTTATTTTATTGTTTTTTGTGGTAGATCAATATATAATTGATTTGTCAAGTAACTAATATGTAGTATGAAATAATTATGCAAGGACAGACGGTGGATTCCATGTCAAAAGATTGTACAAATTTGTTGACAATAGGGCCAACAATTCCATCTTTTTACTTGGACAGTAGCATCAAAGACGACAAGGATTACGGGGTCCATCTTTTCAAGTTCGACTCGACCTGCACAGACTGGCTCAACACCAAGCCAGCAGGCTCGGTTGTATACGTGGCATTTGGTAGCATGGCCAATCTAAGTGACAATCAGATGGAGGAGCTTGCATTTGGGCTGAAGGAAAGCGGCTTCCACTTCTTGTGGGTGGTTAGGCCTTCGGAGGAGGCAAAGCTTCCCTCCAAGTTTGTTGAAGAGACAAGTAATAGCGGTCAAGGGTTAGTAGTAAAATGGAGCCCTCAGTTGGAGGTGCTGTCGCATGCGGCGGTGGGATGTTTTTTCACACACGGCGGGTGGAATTCGACAATCGAGGCATTAAGCTTGGGAGTGCCAATGATTGCAATGCCGCAGTGGACCGACCAGCCTACTAATTCTAAGCTAATTGAGGATGTTTGGAAGGTTGGTATTAGAGTGAAGGTTTATGATCATGATCATGATGAGATAAACGATCGCGGTGAGAATGTTAATGGGATGGTTGGAAGAGAAGAGTTTAAGCGTTGCATTAGGAAAGTGATGGAAGATGAGAAGGATGGGATTGAAATGAAAAAGAATGCAAAGAAATGGAGGGAGTTGGCAATAGAGGCTGTGAGTGACGGTGGCACTTCGGACAAAAACATCCAAGAATTCGTGTCCAAATTGACAACAGCAGCCTAAAACCTACAATCTATTTATATTCTTCTCACATGTCAGCGAGAAGTTTTATATTCGATTTAGCGACGATTTTAATATTTTATTTCTGTTAATGTGCTATCAAACATATTGTTGCATTTAAATTGTATGTGATTAGCCATGTAAAGGAAAGGGGTGGAAAGCCATGCATGGGTGCAACACTTACCAACTAGTCTCTCAATT